TGCCGGGGTAAGCAAGCTACTCGTATTGCACAGTCCTCAGCCCAGTACACCGTTGAACCTGCATGGGTAGCAGCATTAGCTTGTCGTACCGCACCCACCACATGCACCCATCGGGCACCCCCTCACAGTCCTCCAAACAATCCTTCTGGCTGACATTGCAGGCCGGCCAAGTCACGGGCGACTTCTGCCGGCCCATGACGCTGCTCGCCACCATCTGCATCGACATGCCCGGAATGAGCGGATGCAGGCCGTACATGCAGCTGTGCCGAAACACAAGTGTCGTACGGCAGTGCGCACAGTATCCCGCCATCCCTGGGTGAGTAGTTCGCGCTGTGGGTGGGTGTTCGCTGGATTGCTAGGGGCACGGTCGCACGAGCACATTGCTCTTCCTTCCGCTGCCGCTAAGCCGCACACTAGCTCCGCCCTTGGCCCCCGGCCTCTTAGGGCCGGGCATCGCATTTGTTGTTTATGAAACTCGTAACACGTAACTAGCGTACTAGCATCCCATGTCTCGTCTAACACCCACCCTCACTACCTTAATTTCTACTTTCTACTTTCCTACCTTCCTATGGACGGCCGGTGCATGCGTCTCCTCACTTAAAACCCCTTTGCCTCCCCACACACGCCCCCACCCATTCTTCCCTTGATCCTTCAGGCTTCCCAACACTATGGACGCCAAGAAGGCCGTGGTCATTGACATTTGCGGCTCCAGCCAGGTTGCCAACATCAGCCAGTCGACGAAGCTTTGCAACGATTGCAACCAGGTGGGGCAGGAGGCGCTAGGGGGGCCCTGAAGGCTCTCGCTTTGGGCTCGCGCAGCGTAGAAAAAAGTTGCAGACGAATGCTGAATACGTTGACATACATAGACACGACTCGTAATCCAGTGGTGTCTGAGCACGAGTCTGATGACAACGCACGCGGCAGCACTGAGCGATGTTGAGAGGGGGGGCACAGAGCGGTTTGGGAGCTTCCTCGAGGACCTCATATACGTCACCCTATGTATGTGTGTATTCCTTGGTAAACAGCCGGGCGGGTGGGCGGGCAAATAGAGGTGCCAGTACCAGAATTGGCAATATTGCACAATAGCAACGAGAGAGCATCTCGATGTACGGCGTCCGTAGAGGCCTTCTCATCCACCTTTGTCATACGGGCCGCACGGACCACACGAACCTCAAGGGATAGTTGTTGATGGGGCCGGATTCGTCGAATCGAAGATTGTAGCATCGTTTTTATTAGTCCGAACTTTGCTTTATGCGCAACAGCCCGAGCCGATTATTGACCATTACTTGCCCGCTTGCAAATGGCCCTCTCAAGCTCCTTCCAATCACACTTCATATGCGTCAACAGCGTGCTCTGGAGCTTCACGGCTCGTGAGGGCACCCGCCGCGTCGGCGGCGGAAATACTGTAACCACAATACAATACAATACAATATGCTTTTCCCCGCCATCCATCCGCCCCTTACCTTCCTCGCAGCTGAGGTGCGCCGACTACCTGGACTCGCTGTCCACTCTGTGCAGCCTGAGTCCGAGTCTGCCAGGCTGCACCACCTACCTGACTTGGTGCCGCGCTTCGTCGGCGTGGGAGGCGGCAACGCCGGGGAGTAACAGCAGCCTGGGATACTACTGCAGGAGGGGACAGTCACCGCCACCACCACGACCCGGCAATCCCTCGCCGCGCCCCTCGCCGCCGCTGCGGCCGCCGCCTTCAAGGTCCCCTCCTCCATCGCCTCCTCCCGCCAAGTCGCCGCCACCATCCGCCAAGCCGCCCGCCAAGTCGCCGCCGGTGCAGCCGCCCTCTCCACCGCCTAGGAAGCCCCCACCACCTTCACCCTCTCCGCCCGCCAAGCGCCCGCCGCCGCCGCCGCTGCGTCGTTGAGCCACGACAGATGCACGTGACGATTCGCGAATGACCCATCCACATGCGCATAAACACGGACATTTATGCACCTGCTTTTATAGCTGCTACACAGCCACACGCAATGCAACATGGCATGTGTGCGATTAAAAGATGCATTTGCACGGGGCCGTGTAGCATGTGCCAGGGGGGCGCTCATGTGAAGGTGCGAAGAACTAGCTTTTTACTTGGAGTTGAAGGACGTGCCGTCCCTCCAACTCCGGAGCCGGATTGCAAACCTGGCTGTGGATTCAACACGAACCGAGTCAGGGGCGCGAGTTTTATTAAACTTAGCGGGGTTAAGGTGATAACCGCAGCGGACTGCGGGGATGCATGCGTGGCTTGGCAGGAAGACACAATCATCCGAGGGTGGGTAAGGCATCCACAGCGCGCGCGAGCCGCTGGTCCATTGTCATATTCTAGTGGTGGGTATGGTACCTCGGAGCTGTGCATAGGCGTCGCTTCCGTCCTTGAAGTAAGGAGGAGCATGGGGGGCGTTGTTGTGTGTTTCGCTCAAATCAATTACATACAGACACACACACCCACATCCCTTGTACCGTCGGTGAGCTGCTAGCTGCTAGCCTGGGGCCGCTGGGGCAGATAAGCAATGGCGCCCCGCTACCACTTCTCGAGCGCACGCGATGGGTCCGTGCCCAGCCCCCATCGCGTGCGCTCGGGAAGTGGTTAATAGCGCGGGTGTTTGAGCCTCGGCCGCTACCCCACAATGGAGAATCGGGGGAAAGGCCGGGTGAGCTTTCTAATAGGGCCTCGTGCCGTAGTAGGGAGGGGTAGGGTCTGTGCAGGGTTTCTGGGTTTCTTCTGTCTTAGTGATTCCTCACGCCAAGAGCCAGAACAGGCCGGGGCTGGAGACGAATCTTGCTTCGTGTTTCAGGCCCAGTGTGCGAATCCGCAGGACGGAGCCTTGACTTGTGAGAGTGTGCGCGCGTGCGACGCCTCCCAGCCAGGAGAGCGGAGCTATCGGACCCGCGTCTCTCGGCTGCCTCGTTCGGCGGGAAGCGCTTAGGCGGTCTTTCCGTTGGGGGTGGGCAGCAGCCCCTGGCCAGTGTCAGGCCCGGTCAGATACTTGTAACTTCACACATACACACATACACACATACACACATACACACATACACACATACACACATACACACATACACACATACACACATACACACATACACACATACACACACACACTTTCTTGCAACGCTTCCACCGATGCTGCGAGAATCTCTACGAACCATGCAACGTAGTCACCTGCTTGGAAAAGCACCGTAATTTGCTGTTTTGAATCTCGCCGCTTTGGCGCACGAACCGATGGTTGAGAGAGGTGCACCTGGTGCCAATGCCTACAGCTGGGTGCACGCGTCTTATGTACCACTTGCGAAGTTGGTGTCGCTTCCGCCAAAGACGCAGCTAGATAGCATAAGAGCCAGGCAGTCTGTGTGTAACATGCAGAGCGCGCGTGATGTACAGCTCGCGGCTGCGAGTACAGCCCCGGCTCATGATAGCAGCTCATGCTCATGATAGCAGCTCATGCTCATGATAGCAGCTCATGCTCATGATAGCAGCTCATGCTCATGATAGCAGCTCATGCTCATGTTCTTCTGATGCAGCATATAGCCTCTACGACTGGTAGTTGACTGCCGTCAGCACCAAAACCTAATCAGTTGCAACCCCTGCAATAGCAGGTCTTAATCGTATCGCTGCTATGTCCGAGATGCTCTAAACACATATATCCTCAGCAGAGACGTGGGAACCGATTCTTACTTGTTAGCTGTATCACCCCCAGTCTTCCCAATCGCCCCGATCCCCCAAGCGTCTTCTAGGGTTGCCTTAACTGGCTATGTCGCCTGCCACTTCATCATTGATGATTTTTTTATCTACCTTGGCCGCTTCACCGTCTAGAGTTCGTCTCTGCCTTCTGGCTGCTTCATCGCCGCTCGCTTTTTGCCTGGCCATTTCACCGTTGATTGGCCTACGTCCTGCTTATCTAGCTGTTTGCGATTTAACTGCGTTAATTGCGACTAGGGTCACTATGTATGCAAGTTAAACCATGATAACCTTACAGATTTCGTTGTCATCTAGGCACTCCCATGCCGTGCATCACGTAGCAAAGGCTGCTGGGACAGGAGTTGAACATAACGGTTGGCAGGCTCGTTGCGGACATCATGAGTCGGCAAATTGACAAGTCCGGTACAGTCCCTTCCACATGATAACGCTCATTGCGTTATCGGACACGGCGGGTGCTCGTCCGGGCCTGCCAGCAGAGGTCGGCATATATGGCGGGTACTGCGGGTCTGTATCACAGTACCCGCAGCCAAAATTCGGCTTAAGGCCCCGGCTGCGGGTCCCTAATGACCAAAATTTGACCAAAAAACGTGATTTGCAGCCTCTATTGCGGCCCGTAGGACTTGAAGTCTGTGTTTGACTTTAGGGTTTTACACTTCTTTCCGTTGGTTTCAGTTGGAAGAACGTCGAAGGACCACGTCACCAATCTGCGCGGTCAAAGCCATTACGCCTGCATTTTGAAATAATAAGCATAATGAAGTTTACAAGTCTTATTGTGCAAATTATTCTGGAACAGGGTTACCCGTTGTACGCACAGGCGGTGAAACTGTCGTATATAGGAATGTGCGGGATGTGGAGGTATACATAGGTAGGCTCATGAGCCTCCTGACTTGTATGGGCTTGTAATACAGACGCCGAATTGATAGGACCTATGCTAAAATATGTCATAACCAATAAGTTGGAACTAATGTTGTGTGACCTGTTTTTCAGTCTCTCTCGACCGAAGTGTCGGATATTATATCGATAAAAAAACATAATAGATGCTCTATTATAAAAAGCTCTACATCTCATAGATATTCATCGGAGCCTGCACCGTCCGCTATCTTTGCGTATCCAGACAGCAGCGGGTCATAAATTTCCCATGGAGTTCATGAACTACACTAGATTGTTAACAGCTCTGCAGGGGCTCGCAATCCTTATATCTCTAGTCCATGCAGCTGAACTCAACTGCCCGGCGCCACCCGTGATTTACCACACCTCTATCCATGCTGCTTGTAACAATGAACCGGCGAGGAGCTCTATCGGATGCAGCATGTATCGCTTCTGTAATAACCAGACGTTAAACCCAGCAATCTTTCCTCAGCTGTGCACCACAGTAAAGATCGCGAGCAGCTTGTGCAACGACGACGCGCCTGAGGCGTCCGCCGGGCTGTGCACGCAGTAAGTTGCGTATCCAAGATCACCTTCACGGGTCTCGGATTTCCTTTCTTGCAGCTTTTGTGTAATGGGACCGCACGTACCGAGGACAGCACCAGAGACAACACCAGGCTTTCCCCTTTGCGTTACACCACATTCATTCCTGTGGCAGTTTTTCATTACTTGTATGAAAACACCTCCATAACAAATCGAAATCTTGCAGGCTGCGGTTGCCGTACTCGAGCATCACCGAGTTCCAGCGTTGCCTTCCGCCTTACCCTATCACGAGCACCTCCTCCATCAAGGCCCTGCACCTCACCGCCTGCGATCAGATGGAGGGTTTCTGGGAGCCCATGGCGGGTTGCGACACGTGCACCAGGCAGTCCTGCCCTGACCCGCTGGGTGAGTCACCGCCGGGCCAATGCATCATGTGCATTATGTGCGTAATGCCCCGATCTGCACCCGAACTCTCAGCCACAAAATTTCTGAGCCACGGGCCAGTTTCTCTCTGCCGATTCCGGTGCGCTGCGGTGCGCTCTCTGCAGGCTAACGGCTTCCACATTGATGCCGCTTGCACCTGCTGCGGTCCTGCTGCGGCCCTCCCTTTTTTCCCTCTCCTGCAGCCTCTCTTAGCGCCGGTTGCATCGGGATGCCCATGGACCAGTGCGGCGGGCTGGATGCGCTGTGTGCCCTTGGCGCCAGTGCCCTGTGTGGGAAGAACCTCAGAACCGCACCCCCAAGACCCCCGTCGCCGCCACCGGAGCCGCTTGCTATCGCAGGCTCGCCGCCCCCGTCTTTGCCATGCGTTACCAACTCATCACTGCCAGCTTGTGCAGCGTACGAGTACCCGCTCGCCAACATGACCGCGGATCTGGATTCGCTGTGTACGCCTATGCCGTACATGCCAGGCTGTACGATTCGCTTTGCATGCCAGGTGCGCGGCACCACTTCTCTGCCACACGGGCCCAGGTCCAGGACTTCAGCTTAGCGATACTCTGTTTGTGAACGGCTAGATTATGTGTGAGTTGTGACCACTCGTACATTTCCTAATAGGGGACGAGCCACGCCAAACCTCTCCTTTCCGCGCCACCTGACCCCATGCGCTCCGATCAGGCCAGCCAAGTCACGGGTGACTTCTGCCGGCCCATGACGCTGCTCGCCACCGCCTGCGTCGACATGCCCGGGATGACCGGATGCAGGCCGTACATGCAGCTGTGCCGTAACACAAGTGTCGTACGGCAATGCGCGCAGTATCCCGCCATCCCTGGGTAAGGAGGCTGCTTAAGCTCCTGGCCAGGCGTCCCTAAGTTAATCGACAGCATGGGGACATTGAAAATTACTATGGGCTTCGGAAGCGGAAGAATTGGCAATGCGGAGGCTTGCAGGATAGCCATTGAATGCTACACGGGGAACTAACATACATGGCGCCTTCGTGCCCTCCTCGAGGAGTAGTACTGATTCGCTGCGACACAAATTCTGTAAATCGTCCCAGGGATGTGCCGTACGGTACTTGCTTTTCCGTATGGAATCAATCCGTCCGCTCCTCCCCCCCTTCAGGCTTCCCAACAGCATGCAGGCCAAGAAGGCCGTGGTCATTGACATTTGCGGCTCCAGCCAGGTTGCCAACATCAGCCAGTCGACCAAGCTGTGTGACGACTGCAACCAGGTGGGGCAGGAGGCGCTAGGGGGCCCTGTGGAGGTGGACTAGGTGACGCAAGTATCTCTGCACGTTGCTAATATCCAACTTGCATAGTTCAACATCCAGCGCGTCCAGTGGCCAGCGTTTAGTAGCCAGGGGCTGGTGGTGTAGTAGCTGGCCGCTGAAAATGCCTCATAGGATGCTGGCAGGGCGTCTTAGGGTGTGTTCATAGACGAATGAATGTCGTACTGTACGGCAGTTACTACAAGTGCCCAGGGTTATTCAACCATCGTTTAGCCCTGGAGCCCTCTCGGACGTCCAGAAACTCCAAAGCAAAATAAAGTGATAGTGTATAAGCTGGCCACTGTAAAAGACCTCTCGATATGCGCGAAGTTTACTCGAGCTGTGGTGTGTACTATTCCCGGGCCGTGGTCCCGCCGTGCGTGCTGGATGACAGGTATCTTCCTCGGTGTCTGCTCCTGGCTTTGCCTACTATGGTATGCTCTTTCATCCGCCGTCTACATCCACCACCCGTCAGCACTCTTCCCCTCCCATGCTTTCCCCCCCATCCATCCATCCACCCCTTACCTTCCTCGCAGCTGAGGTGCCCCGACTACCTGGACCCGCTGTCCACTCTGTGCAGCCTGAGTCCGAGTCTGCCAGGCTGCAGCACCTACCTGACTTGGTGCCGCGCTTCGTCGGCGTGGGAGGCGGCAACGCCGGGGAGTAACAGCAGCCTGGGATACTACTGCAGGAGGGGACAGTCACCGCCACCCAGCCCATCGCCAGTAACCTTATTGCCGCCGCCGCTAGTCCCTTCGTCGCCAAGGGCTTCACTATCGCCGCCGCCGGTTATGGTGAGCCCGTATGCAGTAAAGTTGCCACCCTCGGCCCCCACCGTGAGCCCCTCGCCGCCAGACAACCAATCACCGACGCCAACCAACCAACCACCGCCTCAGCCCAACCAATCACTGAACCCAGCCAACCAACCGCCACCTCCAACCGACGAATCACCGACTCCAGCCCACCAACCGCCGCCTCCAACCGACAAATCACCGACGCCAGCCAACCAACCGCCGCCTCCAACCGACAAAGCACCGCCGCCAGCCAACCAACCGCCGCCTCCAACCGACGAACTACCGACGCCAGCCAACCAACCGCCGCCTCCAACCGACAAACCACCGACGCCAGCCAACCAATCGCCGCCTCCAACCGACAAACCACCGACGCCAGCCAACCAACCGCCGCCTCCAACCGACAAATCACCGACTCCAGCCATCCAACCGCCGCCTCCAACCGACAAATTACCGACCCCAGCCAACCAACCGCCGCCTCCAACCGACAAATCACCGACCCCAGCAAACCAACTGCCTTCTCCAGCCAAGCAACCACCATCGCCGACAAAGAAGCGGTCGCCGCCGCCAGCTAACCAACCACCATCGCCAACAAAGAAGCGGTCGCCGCCACCAGCCAAGCAACCACCATCGCCAACAAAGAAGCGGTCGCCGCCGCCAGCTAAGCATTCGCTGCCGCCAGCAAAGCAACCACCATCGCCGACTAACAAGCGGTCGCCGCCGCCAGCCAAGCAACCACCATCGCCAACAAACAAGCGGTCGCCGCCGCCAGCTAAGCATTCGCCGCCGCCAGCAAAGCAACCACCATCGCCAACAAACAAGCGGTCGCCGCCGCCAGCTAAGCATTCGCCGCCGCCAGCTAAGCATTCGCCGCCGCCAGCAAAGCAACCACCATCGCCAACAAACAAGCGGTCGCCGCCGCCAGCTAAGCATTCGCCGCCGCCAGCAAAGCAACCACCATCGCCAACAAACAAGCGGTCGTCACCGCCAGCAAAGCATTCGCCGCCGCCAGCAAAGCAACCACCATCGCCGACTAACAAGCGGTAGGGAATGCGGTTGTTCGTTTTGCAGACGACTGTTCCAAATGGATGCGGCGCGGCAGGCAGCCGAACGCTCGTTTGGCGGTTTGAGTTCTGATGATGTAGGTAGCCAGGGATAGCTATTCCTTGCCGAGCGGGCTGACCGACTGTGTTAGTCCGGTGCTTGGTCACAATGCAGTGGTAGGCGTAAGCATGCGAGATGTGGTACGCGCGAATTAGTTAGGCCCACCTTTCGAGTTCATTTATACTTAGCGTGTACGTCACGTGCCCACGCATTTTCATGGAGCCGTGGCATTTTGTTGCTCGTGAATTTCATCGCTGGGCAAAGGCATGAATGTATGTGCATTTGTGTACGATGTGTGTACGATGTGTGTACAATGGCAACATAGCCGTCGTACCCGCGTATCTTGGATGGCCTGGGTAACAGGAATAGTGTAGTATAGGGGATGGTAAACCCTGATGGAAAGGCACAACCCGTGCTGGGCTAATTGCACCATCTGAGATTCGAGCAAATGGCTTCTACAGTGAAGATGAAGCCATCATTCCCTGTTGATAGTTCGTACAGAACTTGGGCGTATCGCTGAATGGCAACATTCCCAAGAGACCTGAACTCTCAGCATGACTACCGACGGAAGAGGAGGGATGCCACCCAGCGAACTGCAGGGCGTGATGGCACCAGTTCTGGGATGCAATTCTAGCCAGGCACTACAGCCAAGGTCTCAGCAATATTTTGCACTGTCGTGCAAGTTACGCAATCGCCCTGTCTCCCGCATTATAGCCGTCATCCTTGGCCACCTAGCCATCGTTGTAGCTGGGCATCGAAAAGGCCAGTCCGCCGTTCGGCCTGTGTTTCTCTTTCCCAGCAGCAGGGCTTGTTTAGTTGACTGAAACATTGTTGCACGGCATAACTTATACGTGATGCCGTGATGTCGTTCAGTAACCTTTAGAATTTGGACGTAAGTTTCACGGTTTGCCTTCGAGCTCTTCTGCGCTGTAGATGTGCCTGATCAGGTTACCTGTCCCGAATGTCCCTTGTGCACCGTTTCGGACAGTCTATCGGGCAGGTCGTTATGATTTCCGATAGCTCCAGCGCCAGAAATTCTTCTATGTTCAAGCTAAGCAACAAGCACTACAAGCACTTCTGTTTGAAATTGCTAGACGCGTCCCGTGTTCCTCAATGCCAAGAACCGGTGTTGAATGTACATACGGCCGATCGACAAGGTGGCGTCGGCGATTAGGCCTCGTATTGTACGACATTGGCTTCATTTTACGATTGCTGCATCGTGATAGGGTAGAGGCTGTTTCACCTGGAGATTCTATGAACAACTGAGGTGTTAATCCATACTGCAGCAACTTCCGTAATAACCATTCCTTACGCGCATGTACCACAGGGCCCCCGGTGCAGCTGCTGTTAGCGCAGTCGAAGAGCAAACTGTACAAAGAAGACAACGCTCGGAAATAGGTGACATTCTTTAGTCGGCCTCAAATCAACCTGTAGCTTACCTTTGCTTGGGCTTTGCTAGTTCAGTCAATCCATGGCGCTCGAGTGTCAACCACAGGTTTATGGCCGCAGCAAACAGCTTGCCTGTCAGATCCTGGCGCATACATCACTCTGCACCATCGTGCTCGGGCAGCGATCGCGCACGCCAAGAGACGTCCGGAGGCTCGCGAGGTTTTGGTCCGACTGTGAAGATAGTGGCCCCCGGGCTTGTTCTTCTTTCATTCAGAAGCCTCCTCTCCGAGGCATGGTGAAAGGAGGAGTAAGGCTAAGTAAGTAAGTAAGGCATGGAAATGCGGCAGTCTGTTGGCGGAAGCCTGATCAGAGGTCTCCAAAGATTAGGGATTGGGTTCGGGTACCGGTCAGGCAGAAATTAGGATGCGGCGAGAGGGGACAGGATTAGGATACCAAGTTGATGTCAGGTTTAAGATAAGGATCTCGGGTGTAGGATTAGGACAGGGGCCCCAGCCACAGGATTAGGCTTGGGGTCCGGCCACAGGATTAGGATTGTGTGTGTGTGTGTGTTACATGGTTGGGGGGTGCGTGACCCCATACCTGTAAGACTACCCATACGAGCCGAGGGCCCAAGGGCAATACTACAACGCCTAAAAGCCACGGAGAAAAAGGAAAAAACACCGCACATCAGCCCAGACTAACGTCCAAAGGGGGTAATTGAGTTTCGGTGAGCCCACATACGTTCCAACATCCTCGCCAGACGTGCGGGTTCCCATTGCATGGCCTCCAACATACTCTGTTGATGATCGAATCCCTCTTCAGCACGAATATCATTATAGGCTGGGCATTCCAATAACACGTGTTTTTCATCCTCAATTCGGCTATTAGGACCACAACAGTGGCAAAACCGCTGCCCCCTGGGGACATGGTACTTGCCCCTTCGTGCTCTGTTCGCCTCCAAAGCCCAGCAACATAAACGAAACTGCATTAGCTTACGATGTGCTAAACGAGGAATGAAAACCTTAGCATGTGTTGGCCACATGACGGCTGCGGCTCCCGAAAAGGGCAGCCCCATCCAGTGCTTATACTTCGCCATTTGCACTCCCGGTTGCTTCCCATCTGATGGGTACTCCTCTGGCAAGACAGTCAGACGCGTATGGATTAGGATTGGGATACTGCAACGTGATATGGATTACAACCAACCGCCCTTAGAATATGGATAAGACCACCACTCTGGATTAAGAATTAAAAATTGCACTCCTGTTGAGATAAGAGGATTGCTCACCGGTACCCACCCCCTGGATTAGAGGATTAGGATCCCTTTGCAAACCTCTGGTCTGATCCCTAGCCCTCCGCTTACGCCGGATAACTTAGTTAACTCAACATGGTAAGATGCATATGATGCCTAATAAAACAAGATGTTTCGTTACTGTAAAGTAAGGTGCACGACGGGTTTGGCACCAATGCATGCCAGGTCCGCCGTGTCACAATACACAACGACGTACAGATTATGATAATTACGAAATATTGTGTTGATGTAATGTACCCAATTTTAATATTTAGCTCTACATTATTATATACTTTATAAATTGGATGTCGGTGTTGGTAGCCTAGCCTTAGTCCCCGTTCTTATCTTTCGGAGAGACGAGTCGCTTAGGCGCCGAACAAATGCTTCGCTGTCATGTCTACAGCATTGTGTTTGCATTACTTGTCCTTTATGCGGGTGCAGAGTGCCCAGCGCCGCCCATTGTCTATGACTCGACCTTAAGGGCAGTGTGTAGTAAGGAACCGGCTCGCGGAGCTATTGGGTGTAGCATGTACAGGTTGTGTACAGATAACACTATTAGCCCGCCCATTTTCTCCAAGATATGCGGCGCCTGGAGAATTGCGAGTAGCTTGTGCAGCGATGACCAGAACATTGCCGAGTCTACAGGCATCTGTGGACGGTAAGCATAGCGGACAGAATCCTTTACTTGTGAGTTACATTAGGTATCTCCAACATGCTGATAAGACACAGCCCCTTGGGTCACTGCTCCATCTATTGTTTCAGATTCGCTTGCAAAAGGCGACCTCGATTCGCATAGAGATCAAGTGTCCAGCGCAATTGAACCACAATCGTCATGTACACTCTACTGCGAGCAATCTCGCTTTGCAGGATTTGGCGGAAGCTGCGATGGCAGTTGCAACTGCTGCTGCTATTGTTGTTATTGTTGTACATATCTGTGTTTTCCTTGTCTTCGTTGATACTGCGTTGATACACTTGCCTGCGGCCGCAGGCTCCAAGCTTCGTACGCCAATGTAACCGAGTTCCGTAGCTGCATGAAGCCGTACAACTTCACCAGCACGTCTGACATTCGCGCAAAGCACCTTGCTGCCTGCGATGAGATGTATGATCCCTCTTTTATGCTTGGCTGCGAATCCTGTACAGCTACATCCTGCCCTGATCCACTGGGTGCGTCCGTAGCTACAACATTGCCGGCTGAGGTCATGATGATCATGACTTGTCCGGTTAGCGCATGTTCATTGCATGTCCCACACGTAGAAGAGCCTCCCTCAGATGCAGCGACGTACAGGAAGCGCCGAACAGAGACATTCAGGCCTTGTTTGGGAATACAAGCGTGGGGCCCGCGTGGCGAGAAGAAATCTAAGGCGATCCGGGTGTGAAAAATCCGACAGCCCAGCGCAGGGATGAAGGAGGCGGGGGTCACGATACGTTTCACAACCCCCAGCGGCGTGTCGGCCGACATGGCAAGTTGTGCACCAAGGCATGCTCCTGCTTTATGGGCTTAGGACGGCGGCGCCTGCGTTCCCTTCCCTTCCTTTCCCTTCCCAGGACTTGCTTGACTTCCTGTTGTTCTTACTGATCTGCACTGCCGTGCAGATACATACATACGGATCACCGGGCTGGATTGCCGTACTAAATACCGCAACCAGCTAATGCTGCCGTCGCCGCCGCTGCCGCCGCCGCCGCCGCCAGCAATCCGTCCTTTGCCAAACGAACCCCCCAACCTAAATGACTGAGGCGCCCTCGTGCCCTCCGTTTTTGGTGTCCCTTCGCAGTGTCATACAGTTTGGGTTGTGCCTACATGGACATGAATCAGTGCGCTGCCTTCCACGGCTTTTGTGGAGGAGAGGCGACACCAGCCGACATCCGTACCACTTATGGTCATGGAGCCGCCGTTCTTTGCCTCTATATAAAACCCGGGCCGGGTGTTGTGGTTGCGCCTCCCAGGCCCCCTTCACCACCGCCGGAACCACCGTCGTCGAGCCCACTCGTGGCCCCAGGCGCAACCCCCGCTGCTGGTCCGCCGCGAGCGGGACTCAGCCCATCGCTGCTGCTACCCCCTAAATCGCCGCCGCCACCGTCGCCTGCTAGACAATCGCCATCGCCATCACCTTCTGCAAAACGGCCTCCGCCGCCATCACCTTCTAAGCGATCGCCACCGCCATCACCTTTTGCAAAACGGTCTCCGCCACCATCATCTGCGAAGTCGTCGCCGCCGCCATCATCTGCAAAGCGATCACCACCGCCATCGCCTCTGAAGCGGCCATCGCCGCCTCCACCCTCCTCAAGCCGCAAGCCTCCGCCGCCGATGCGGAAATCCCCGCCACTCACCGGCACCCGAAGTCCTCCTTCAAACAGGAAATCACCTCCCCCCATGAAGACGCGAAGTCCACCGCCTTCGACCCGCAGGCCACCGCCCACCAGCCATAGGCAGTAGGCGCTTCTACCTGCCATCACCCCCCTAGCTACTTTTTTTCCCTTGCCTTTCACTACCTTCGCGCAGTACGGTTGTTCACCAACGACACCACCCACGCCATCACACCACAGATTGTTTTGTATCAACTTGCAATATTGTAAGAGCCTAGCTCAGGCCTTCTGTCGCGTCACATGACTGTAGCTACGACAAAGTACGTGTGTACGGGACATCACTGAAAGATCTCTTACAAGTCCCGTAAGACTGCATGTGATGCTGTCGTACGTTTACAAGGCATCTTTATCTGCGGGACTAGTTTAGGTTGGGCTAAAGAAGATCAGTGCCTAGCAACCTGAGCCCCTTGGTTAGGTGGGTGGGGTGAGGCAGTGAACTAGGGCGATTGCTTCCGTTAATCTGCGTTGTTGGACACTGCATTGATGCATGCATTGTTTTACGGGCAACGTTAGCTGAACGGGAGTGCATAGGGCCAGATGTTTTGGTGAAGAATAATAATATTTGTTTACGAGAAGTAACCAGAGCTTCTTAAGCAAGGCACGCCAGCGTTTTGCTGTTCCCTGCGTTGCAGCCGTCGTTGTGCGGGGTGGATTTATGTTGTCCAGTTGTTTAAAGAAGGTTACTTGACCTGTAACGAACTTGAGTTGCTTTGAGCGCGAGCCGGGATTTGAAGCTCCAACAGCTGTAAAGCGTATGATTTGCGCCAAACCTGCTAAACCCTACATTTGCTTGAAGATTACGTGCATAAACGTGATCTTCATTCGTAATTTTCGCGTGTACGCGCGAAATGTTCGCGGGCAGCTTTCCACGGCTGTAGTAGCAGGTACACAATACGTCTACAAATAGGCGCTCCACCAGCTCCACCTTGAAAGCCCGGCGATACAGCGGAAGGGCAACTCCCTCTCGTCCTCTGGCGAAGCTTTTGGCAAGGGAATTTGGAATGAAGCAAGTGGGATCATTGCACGTTTTAGTCAGCCTCCACATACATGCGATCCACTGAGAAGTTGACTAGGGTGACTGGATGAGGGTGTCCCGAAATACCGGGGAAGGCAGGGTTTCGCAGGGTAGCTGCCACGGGTGAAGATATACCCCCCTGTTTCACACATCATATGTATTGGGAAGCTTGCGTATCTCAGCTGTATCGAATTGTAATCGTTCTACAGGATTTCTTACATTGAATTCTTGTTGCAATGCATAAATGCAAGTGGCTGACAGCGCTGCTGTTTTACGTTCGACAGCATGTCATGCACACTTATTTACCCGCCAGGTGGCGGACAGGCGGTGCCATCGCGTGTTGCCATCGCGGCCGTTTCGCAAAGATGGGGCACTGTTTTCTCTTGTTCGCACTATTGATACAGCGGGTTGCGTTCCGGGTTGTGGCTAAGACCTAGCGAGGGCCGGTGGTGCTGTCGCCGTGACCCTTAAACTTTGTGTCAGTTGCATCAATGACTTTATTCCGTGTCGTAGCAGGCAATACAGCCATACTTTCACTTTACATATCATTAAACGTCGAGCGTCGTGAAAGCACAGCTGGGCATGAAAAAACGTATCATCTACATGTTTGTTTTGTCATTCTGACTGTTGCATGCAACTTGTTGTTGCACTACCAGGCAAACGGGCAGGCGGGTAGAACGGCTTCGTGCGCGCTGGACCCCGGTGCAGAACACGGCCCTAGGGTACGCGCGACGTGGGTAGTTGCTTTCTTCATCGCGGCAAGAGCGCCGAAAAAATACACCTTTAGTCGGAAGAAGTTCTGAATGGGAGGAGGGCTGCGTCGGCCACGCTGCCAAGGCCTATGGCAGTTACTGACCGGTATTCGTAAGCGACGCTTAGCGATCTCGGGCAAGGCCAGCAAGGACATCCGCTCCATGATTTAGCGATAATATTTATGTAACGTCTTTGAGTTTGTCCGTGAAATCTAATGAGCTGGTCACATTCACCGACGGAGCGAACATGAAGCGAACCGTCAGTGAAGGCAGAACAGGCGGCGTACGTGGGTGTAGCGTGTGCTGCGTCTGCAGTGTAAGGGCCCTTGGCAGCCTGTCTCCCGGTTTTCCGCCTCTATCATTCCTCGCACTGTCAGCCAGCATGTTCGAGTCGACATAGCCATGAGAATACGGTTAAGGGAGACAGGAGCACAGAACCGTCAGTGAAGGCAGAACAGGCGGCGTACGTGGGTGTAGCGTGTGCTGCGTCTGGAATTATAATGTAAATCAAGATGTCAATCGTCGCAATCTCCAGGCATTTATTAATGCGCAAAGCGTTGTTGTTGCAATGCGAACCGGCAACTCATCTGGGTTCTTGCTACTGCGTATATAGCTTTGTATGTTTCGTTTATGTTTCTTGTATTTTAATTCTAGTTTATCCTTGCTTTTTGCATACGTTGTTCCATCATGTGCCGTTCGGTCAGGGTATATCCGTTAAATGCCAGACCAGCCAATGTTATCTTCCCTAAATTAGTGGATTCCTTAGATATGCATCTGAAAATTTCAAAGTTTCAAGACCATGCGAGCATGATACATTGCGAGCTTGGGTGTCAAGCGAACGAACTGCCGTTGGCATTTAGTCACCCCACATGTACTCAAACAATGATTCTGTAGCGTATTGCTTGCTTGTGGTTAGGGTTTGAGGTGAAGGGATCTCTAACGTCATCATTGCATTTGTAGCCCGAGCGATGAAAAAGCGAAGGCATGGTCGGAAGCACGATTGAGGCCCATACGTGTAACACTGGGCAGCCATGGTTGCGCTGCATTCAATAGTTATTCGTGGTTGCAAATGGCTAGAAGCTGCTTCGTAATCGGCGACATTGTAGAATTTGTACGGTACATTGGTACCTGTAGGGTACAAGTCACACAAGGGTCATGAAGGCTTCCATACATATGTGGTCACCGCATTCTTGTTTTATTGTTTGCCTCTACTTCACTCTTATGTCATTACAATGTTATATGAAGATAAGACGCGGAAGTTGTCGTTTGAGCGCGCCGGAACTGCATCAATGGCCATAGTAGGGGTCCTGTTGAATTAATTGTTATAGTAGACTATAGTAAAATTACCCTTTGACCAATTGCAGTCGTCGGCTGCTGCCGACGATTAAGGGTTGACAGGTTCAGAGAGAACCTATGTTGCGGCTTCATACAGTTTATCTCGTAGGATGGCTAGCACTCGTCGCTTTTGTTGCTGCTCAGACGAACTGTCCGACCCCGACAGTCTATCACTCAACTCTGCAATCAATTTGCAGCAAAGAGCCGGCGCGCAGCGCAATCGGTTGCAGCATGTACCGACTCTGCAGGAATGAAACTCTGGAACCGCCGATCTCATATGCATTATGCGACACCTGGAGGATCGCCAGCAGCCTGTGCAGCGATGACCCCAACATTGTCAACTCTATCGGCCTTTGTGGCCAGTAAGTCTCTGCCACAACCTTCGCAGAAGTCAAACCTACGAAGGAGTGTGTCTCACCGATGTACCGTCCCTCGGGTCGCATCACAGAAGCTCATAGGCGTGCACGCATCAGGCCCTGTTGAACGTCCTTCTGTCTCCGCGCCCATCTGTCCCACATATGCCCATCATTTCAAGCACCTTCGTAACTCATGTGCATCTGCTTGCTCGCACAGGCTCCAAGCTGCATTTTCCAGCGCCTCCGAGTTCCGCAGATGTATGAACCCGTACATGTTAAACAGAACGTCGAAGGTTCTGGAACTCGCTCTCGACGCTTGTGGCCGCATGGACGGACCCTATTATTCATACAATCCCACCCAAATGCTGGGCTGCGAGGAATGTACACCGCAGTCCTGCCCTGACCCGCTAGGTACGTCCCTAGCGTTTCTGACCATCTGGGTCACTCTAGGGATTCCATCTGGGTCAGGACACACTTCCACGGAGGGCGCGGAACCTCCAAGCGGCGAGGGGCAGTAAAGGGAGGCCTTCGCGGCCTTTGCGGCCCTGCGCCCTTCCTGGAATCTCCCGGGCAGATCTTGGCAACCGGTGACCTACAGGGCAGAAAGCAAGGGCATGTGCGGCGCGACCGCCTCTAAACAGCTTCATTAGTCGACGCCATTGTGAGCTAGGACCTGGTGGTGCTTACTTGGTTGGGTAGCTGGTTGGGTAACCTGAGCACACCACGCTCAGAGGCAAGATGTGCGGATGGCTTGTTTAAGACATGTTCCTCGTTGCGGTCAGTGCGGGTCGGAATTTTTCCCCATGAGTGAGGTTCTTGTGTGTTTTCGGCTGGTGGCCCTCCCTGGGGTAAATCATGCATCTTGACATCGGCCCTCATTACCGCCCTCCCTGCCGCTTGTCGTTCTGTGGTCGCAGTGTCGTACTGTGAGGGTTGCTACAGTATGGATATGGGCAATTGCTCTGCTTTCTTTGCCTTTTGCGAGATTGACGCCCCGTTACATGGTGACGGCGCCGCGTTTCTGTGTCTGCGACCTGAATACCGGAAGACCGCGCCGGCGCCACCCCGGCCACCGTCGCCTCCACCCGAACCAGTACCCCCCAGCCCACGGCCGCCCTCTCTGCCGCAAAGCCCACACCTGCCGCCAACCTATCCCGGTGTCATGCTGCCGCCCAGTCCGCATCCGGAAAGCCCGGGGCCACCCAGACCGCCACCACACGGCCCGGAACCGCCGCTGCCAATGGCGCCGCCAATGACGCCATTGCTGCTCGCTACGATGCCGCCGTGTGTCGCCGATCCGTCGCAGCCATATTGCGGATCGTACGAATATCCGTCGGAGAACATCACTGCGGATGTAAACTCTCTTTGCAAGGATATGCCGTACATGCCCGGCTGCACGATACAATCAGCGTGCAAGGTGGGGGAGGAACGTTTGTTTGGATGTATGTCGCTTCTCTGCCCGCCTGCGCGCGTAACCTGCATGTGGCACAGCGACCTGTCTCCAAGCCTTGCGGGAATTACGTGGCTTAACCGCACGAGGGAGTTGAGGTGTTTCTGTCAGTAGTGCTGTGTGCCAGAACTCACCCGGCAACACCGAGTTGAAGCTGCTGCACCTTCCGCATTGCTGTGCCGTGTGTTCAACGCACAATGGCAGATCGGCAAACATGCCGCGTCTCCTCCCCCGCAGCCCAATTTAAACAAAGGCGGTTGCTGCTCCTTCCGAAACTTTTGCTTCTGTCTTTCCAGCTGCCTGTTTCCTAGAGGGGCCTACAACCATACCGAGGGCAAAGTCGCCCGGTGGAGCGCTACGGTGTGTGTTGCCTTTCTTAGGGGAGGGTTCATGTAGGGAGGCCTGATGTGGCCGAGACTGCGCTTTCAGATGGATGGTCTCATGCGTTTGCGCCCCCCACTCGCTCTGGCAGCAGCTTCAATCGTGTGTGGTTCGTCTTTCCCCCACTCGCTCCCGCATTGCAGGCCGGCAAAGTGACTGGTACTTTCTGCCGGCCCATGACGCTGCTCGCCACCATCTGCGCCGACATGCCTGGAATGAGCGGATGCAAGTCGTACATGCAGCTGTGCCGAAACACAAGTGTCGTACGGCAGTGCGCGCAGTTCCCCGCCATCCCAGGGTGAGTCATCCCGACCCGCGGACAGCCGAAGGGATGTGAAGGAGCTCCTCCGCTGTGGCCGCAGGTGGTGCACTAAAAGAATCTCATTTTTCCAAGCAAACTGACATGGAAATGACGTTGCCGTCACTGCGTGTCGCCGTGCTGTCGACCTCAGGCTGCCCACAACCAATGTCGCTCGCAAGGCCGTGCTGGACATGTGCGGGTCGATGGACATGGTGCAGTGCGAGAATTGCACTCGGGTATGTGGGCCGGGCCGCGTGGTTTTGAAGGGTGAATGAGATGAAATACGTAACATCTGGATAGCCATTGGTGCTTTAAGTAGACCTTTTAAAAGAAGGCAAGGGAGGAGGAGGAGGAGGAGGAGGAGGGGGAGGAGGAGGAGGAGGAGGAGGAGGGGAAAGGTGCCTGGTTGAAAGCTGGATGATCCAAGAGGACGGATGAGCAGAGGAAGAGATTGTGGAAGCTAGGCAGGATCCCGGACATGACATGGAACAAAACAGACACGTCATGAAACGGAGGGAAGGCTCTTGCAGTTGGTTGATTGGTTGATTTCCGACGGCTGTCCGTGTTTGGGGATGGTAGTCAGGCGAATCGGTGGTGCCCAAGGCCTCACCCAGGCTGGGGTATGGGGGTTTGGCCAAGCGCAATTACCTGATTTCAAATCCTCTCTGAAGGCTCTTCCCGAGGGGCAATCAACCGGAGCCCTACCCCCTCCCTCGTGTCATGCGACTGCACCTGCATCCCGCCTCGGTTTGACACCTTTCCTACGGCTGCCCGTGCGGCGTGTTCATTTGTCACCCCTTCCATGTTGTTGCTGTTGTTGTTGTTGTTGTTGCGGTTGTTGTTGTTGTTGCGGTTGTTGTTGATGGGGTGTTACACTGTGGGCGGCTCGCCCGATAAAGGACGTGCACCGGGGGCCCTGACCGGGCCGAAACACAGCGCAGGGATGGGAGCGCGGCTCTACGTCCGTCTGTTCCTCCGCGTGTTGTTGTTGTTGTTGTTGTTACAGAGTGGCAGACTTCTGGGCCACTTGAACACATACCCCCTCCATGCATATGGCTTGCGCACTCACTCGCACAAACTCCAACTCCGCTTTCCTTCCTTTCCAAACATATTTCGCTCTAACCTGCACTAAGCTTCGACATACCGCCCTACCGATGCTCGCAGCTGTCGTGCAACATTGATTTCATCGGCGGGATGTCCAGCATGTGTACGGAAATGCCGTACATGGTTGGTTGTGATGTGTACGCCGCCTGGTGCAAGGAGTCGGCCGGCTGGGTCCAGGGGGGGGCCGACGGCGCTGACGGCAGCAGCATCAGCTCATTCTGCGCCGGGGCCGAGGTGTACGGCGGCAGTACATCTGCCTCCGACATCCCTTCGATGCTCATGTTCTTTCATCAACGGACGCGCGAGCTGCTGCTCTTCAGAACTTGGATGCCCAAGACGACAGGTGTGTATCTGTGTGTATGTGTGAATGTGTTGCCGGAAAGACGAAACACACGGAAAGACGAACACGCTAGCCGTTAATTGAAACGGCCTACCCGCCGCGTGTGCATATTTATGCTGTTTCCGTGGTAATGCTGTTCCATGCACCCACACGCACCCAGGCCTTGACTTGTGCTTGTTGGCTCGTTGACCTCTCTCGTCCTCTCTCATTCCTCTCATGCCATGCGTTGGAAACTGGCGTTCAAAAAAAGCTTGTCTGGGTCATATGCGTCTTGGCTCTCATGCTGCGGTTGTTTTTCCTTCCGCCGTTGTGGTGTGTGGGGTTTCCCGGCTGGGTTTGGTCTCTCCCTTGAGTCGGCCTTTGGCTCCAACACTCTCTACGCAGGTGAAGCCGTCGGCAGCTTCATCGCCATCACGACCATGAGTTTTACCGCCGTTGCGCTGCGCACCGCCCAGTTCATCATGGCCACCGCAGCGGCCGCGGGCCGGCTGGGGCCGCTGGGGCCGCCGCCAGCCGAGGTCAGACCCGGGCTGTGGTGGCTGCCCAGCGGCGGCCAAGCACTGCAGAACCTGCTGTCCTCCGTCTTCACATGTAAGGATAGCTAGCTTCAGACAGAAGACCTTGCAGAGCTCCACTTGCTGGTGCTCCTTTTTTTCCTGAATATAAATGTCATGTCACCGGATAAACTGAGCGCCGGCTCAGGGTGCGAACACACACTGTAACCTAGTAACAACTAGTAACTAACAACTAGTAACTAACAACTAATAACCCCTGTTTTCCACATTCCGGACCGGGATGCCATGCCGCCTCCGTCACCGTCCCTGCGGCTGTCTTAAATCTTAAAATTTACATTTTGCACTACGCCTGATGGCTAACGCCCGATTCGTTACAAAATGGGGCGCAGTGGTGGTCACCACGCTGGATCTGTTCGCCATGCTCATCGCGATGACCTTTAACGGCGCCTACTTTGCGGCGGTTGTGTTGGGCTACTCCCTGGGCACGCTGCTGCTAGGCCACCTGCGGGACAACTACCAGCGCCGAGTGGGTGCACCCGCCGGGGCGCCCACCAACGCCGACGTGGAGGTGTGCTGCGGCGCCGCAGTCCCGCCCGTATCTGTGGCCCCCAACGGCACCGTATCGGCCGACAGGGTCACAACAAACGGCGTCGCGGCGGCCGAAAAGGTCACAACAAACGGCGTCGCGGCGGCGGCGTTGAACGGCGCAGCGGAGAAGCGAAGAACGTCACTGAACGGCGGAGGAGCAGTTGCACTGCATGAAAGCGAAAGTGTTCGCAAGTCAGGTTTTTCGGTGTTGTGAAGATAACGGGCTGTTGGTTGCTCTGCTTAGGTGGGAAATTAGTCAGTAGCGATGAGACTTTGTAATAATATACTTTGGGTGGCTGTGTAAGTAGGAGGCGTACGGGATGGATCGAATTTTGGGCGGCTTTATGTCCTGCACTTAGGTGGGGGGTACTGATTTTGGTCATCATACGGTGTTTGCTAGCTGGTACATGTCAGCAAGTCAGATTGGTGGGGTCAGGTCCGTGAAAGAGCGGGCGAGGGGTTGCCTAGAGTCCGTTATGGTTATGACAGAGGTGACGTTACCATGACAGCGTGCAAAGGAAGTCGGCCGCATTACTGGTGGGCCTTGTGGTTTGCACGACTGTGATCCAACTAATGGCGGCCGTGTGGGAGGAGGATGAGGGCAGGTCAGGATGCGGCAGCTACACGCACAGGGACGCCTGCTTTCGTTGCCATAGCAGGAATCCCCGATCTTTTGTGCGTTAATTTTATTGGTAGCTAGAAGAACAGTGGGGGGAAGCAAAGTAAATGTTGTGATGAACTGCTCAGTAAACCCATAACGTAGTTGTGTTGACGGAATTTTGGAGTGGTCCATGACGAGCTTATGAGGCATGTGAGCCCCACGAGAGGCTTTGTGCCCCACTCCCAGCTTACAGACGAACAAACGGCGAACGATACATGTGCATGTGTGGATGAGGCCACAAACTTCTCTGTTCGCAAACCTTTACATATGTCTGCATACCCGCATTGGAAATGATGGTGGGTCCAGTCCCATTAGGTTAGATCGCTCGAAGGCACACATTCGACGCTCTGTGCGGCGCATGTCGCGTGATAGGCAGGGTGGCTCTTTACATTACGACATTTTGACCCTTGTTTTATGGAATTCTTTTGGGACTCCACGCATCTTGGATTTATGAGGTGGTGTAGTGTGTGTTTTCGTGCAGGTTTAGATGTTCATTTGTCAATTGTGACGTTTTCGTGGCTTTTCTAAGAAATGCCATTTCCAGCACGGAGGTTGTTGGTTGAGTTGGTTGGGTTCGTGAGTGTCTCATGTGTGTATACCGGAGGGGTCATTCGATATCCAGTCAATGTGCTGCTGCTGCTTCTGGTGGTGGTGCTGCTGGTGGTGGTGGTGGTGATGATGATAATGATATACCGAGCGAAGGACCGGCGTTGCAGCAGCAGAGGCAGGTCGATTGCACCTTGTCATGCATTTTCGGGAGTGTTCAAGTAGAGACGGCCGCTAGCTGGTGGTCGGCAAGGCGGCAGGGCGCCATGGCTGGGCACCTGGCCAGGGCTTCCTGCCAAGGCTGTAATGGCCGGCCTGTAATGGACACCCACGCCCAGCCTGCAGCCAACCTCAGTGTTTCGCTTTCCTACCAAGGAAAGCCAGAAGGTCCCTACCCAGCCGTCCCGTGCAGACAGATGTGCATGTGTAGGGATAGGTAACCTTACGGTCTGCGAACTCGCGCCGTGGCGGCTGTGCGGATCTGTATGTAGCTAGAAGAGCGGCTAGACGAGCCGGTCGTCCGCGTGGAGATGCATCGATGCTACAGTTTGAGGTATCGAGGTCTGTGTTAGATGAGAAGAGAGGCTAACAGAAGAACATCTTCGGCGTGCGCGAAAGCCCGGCCGCGCTCCCACTTTCCTCGCCGGTGGCACGGTGTCAAGACAACTCAGCAGGGAGTATGCCACATGGACGAAAGTGACGTGTGTGTTTGTGTATGTGTGTGTGTGTGTGTGTGTGAAGGTTTATCGAGACTAAAGGCTAAAGTGGACCTGATCGTAGAACTGACAATTTGATAAAGCGGCCCAGAAGCCTCCCAATCTGTAACATTACAATTACAAAAAAAATAAAGTGGACCTCCATGTCATCCCGGCTGGCGACGAAGCCGTCTGCCCGTCCGCTTTTAAGATTTACTTCCGAAACCGAATTCCAAGGGTTTTTCCTCGTGGTCAAGCTCAAAAATTGTTACTGGAGCTCAACACGCAAAGGTTGTTCCGTATCTATAAGCTGGTCGAAGGAGTTGCTCTGGAACCAGAAGAAGCACAACTCGTAAGGTCGGCCAGTCGGGGTAGTTCGGCCAGAAACGTCGCACAGCTTCCTGATGCCATGATGCTTCTTCTTCGCCCATAAGCTGCGGCGTCGTGCTTACGTCATGACAAGCTTGCGTCATGGCTAGCTGGCTAGCACTCGCAGCTTTCACAGCTGCTCAAACGCCGTGTCAAAGCACTCCAGTCTATCACGCAACGCGGATGGCACTCTGTCAGGCTACTTGAGCGCAAGTTAGGCCTCTTGATAATTGGATGGCGGTGTTGCCGCCTGTGCGCGCGGTCAGCGGGGTCGCTTGCATGTATGCGTGTGTGATTGCTACAGTGTGCATGGGTGACCCTTCCCGGAAACCTTTCCCGGCGGCCCCATGCCCATGCAGCTTACTGCAAGAAAACGCGGCAACAAGGCCCAGCACGACACACACACACCGCGGGCCCTGTCCCCTTGTCCATGCTAACAGCTCGTCTGGCCATGCCTGAGGCTCACCCTTAACCCTTAAACCCTTAAACCCTTTATAACTGCTGGTTATGGTCTGCATTATGCATGTGATCCGCTGCCGGACTCGGACATCCAGTTAACAAACCCTCTCGGTCTTGTTTTCCTTTCTGCAACTACACATCTTATCCACCTCCCCATCCGCATTAAGGAAGACCAGCAGACAGTAATGTCCTGAACGCCGGGGGAGTTGCTTCCCTGCCGTGCTGCCCAATAGAGGAGGATGTAAGGATGAAGGCGCTCTTTAAGTGGCATCACAGTGGCTGGTTCGTTACGGCGCAATCCGCCTATGAACTGCACACGTACATGTCGGTTGCACTGAATGGCAATGTGTCTACACAAAGCACAACTTTCATCACCAGCTGGTGATAAAGGTGCGTCACTTCAAGTACGGATGCACCCAGGCTTCACTTCAGTTATCGATCAGGACCCGGTGCGCGTTGCAGGCAGGTTGGGGGCAATACTTGGTAGCGCGCAAATCCGAGCTACCTGAACATTGCGGGACGTATGTTCGCCGCCTTGCGTGGGCACCCATTTGCCACATCAACAGACGACTACCAGAAGACATCAGGAACATCCCCAATCATCTAATCTGTCGATTCGGAATCGTTGAACCTTTTTTACAATCAGATAAACGCGCAGGATAGCGTTTCTCATTTGTGGCCTATCCATATCCGTATGTGCGTATGCCTGTACGATGAAACAGGGTGGTATAGCTTCACCAGCGGCCCCCTTTCCCGAGGCAGTTCCCTGCTCTCCCCTGCGAGAGGGGCACTCTAATTCATTCACCCCATCCGACTTCAGAATGTATTCGTTGGGTTCAGCATCAGCAACTCACCACCAGCATCCAACCAAATCTAGCGGATCAACGGCGCTACAACTTTGTCATGGTCAGCTCGCAAGTAGATGTAATACCGTGCATAAAGAAGGGGTCCCACCGTCCAATTCAACATCCCTCATACGCCGAAGGATCGACTGGTACATATGGACCCACAATTTCCGTGAGTCGTCTGAGCGCAACCCTTGGTAGCCACCTACCCATTCAATAACTCTACAATCTAGCGACCGTACAAGGGGTCGAACCTTGGACCTTGCCCTTAGGAAGGGCACGCTATATCCACTTAGCTATACGGCCAGATACATGAATACTTTTATGTGTACATGTGAAGGCTTAATATTCTGATCTGGACGCACATGTGCAGCAAATGCTATGTCGTTACAAACACGCCGCTGAAAGGTCCAGGTATTTACCGCTGCTCGTCGCCTGGATCTCCGCCAACAGTGCATGCAAGGTGGCACCCTCGGGCCCTACCCAGATGTCACTTAGACCGGACGCGAGCCGGTCACGGACGCGATTCAGAGATGCCTTCCCTCCGCTTCGCTCTTCGCTGCGCTACGAGAAGCTACGGTGAAACGCGCACTACTGCGAAATAGATATGGTTCATGTGCGCCATGTGCACGCTTCCAACGCAAATCCTTTCAGGTCCATTGCAAAAAGAAGCTTCATTCATTTCCTAGGTAGTTTCCATTCCAAGCCTTCACGGCTCCAGGAGGGGACGAGAGATACACCTAAGTGTGGCCCAGCTTTGAAGGCCTGTATGTATGTTCATACCGACGTACCCCCGCTGCAGCAGTGTCCCTGCTGCACAACGGCTATACCCCATCAGGATCCTATGTTATCATGCATGCAAGTTAGCCTGCCGGTGGTAAAATTGCGAGCAGAGCAGCAGAGGTGCATGACGATTGCCAATGGCTCTGGGGGAGCCAACAGCCAACAGCCAACAGCCAACAGCCAACAGCCAACAGCCAACAGCCAACAGCCAACAGCCAACAGCCAGTTTATTCCACCCGTTAGTTAGTAAGTTTTTGTCAGCCTCAGCCGGCTTGGTAGGGCGGGGCGCTCTGGCATGGGTGCCCACGTCAGGGCCGGGATGAGCATGGTCTTGACGGGTCGAAGAGGCTCCTCGTCATCCTCGCCGTCCTCGCCACCTCCGCAAGGAACCCGTGGTCCTGCCTTGGAGCGTGGACTACTCAAAGTTCCGGAAGGTCCGAGGTTTCCAGACGCCCTGCAGCCGAAACTGGGTACCGTGAGCTTAATGTGGCACATGAGCAATGGAGGGAGTCTAGCTAAGATGAAAAAGCGAGGGTAATTGGGCGGGTGCAAAGCGCGCACGGGTATCTAGGAGCGGGTGGGGTTGGCAAGGTAACAGATGAGCAGAAGACAGGAGAACGTCTCTGAGCAAAACATTTGAATTTGACCTCCTAAGGAGTCTAAGGAGTCTAAGAGTCCGAGTCAAAACTCACGAAGCCCACAGCTGAGTATTAGTAACCACCAAGGTACCCCTATCACTTCCGTCCTCATGCAGCCCTCCCCAATAATCCACGTACTTACTCAGCAATGGGTGCAAAGGCGGCGTTGTACTGCACCCACCACACGTCCGCGCCGCCGTTAGAATCGGCACTGTGTAGCTCCCCCAGCTTCAGGTCCGGCAAAGAGCGTGCAAAGCTCATGTACGACTTCGTGTGCTGCTGTGCTGGCCTTCTACCCCGCACGTCAACCTCTTCTCGCGGATCCCCATCTCTCACCAACGCCGCTGCCGCTGCTTCCACCTCCTCTAAAACTTCCTTAGGAACCCCGCCACTGGGGTCGTTTACGCCGGTGACAACCATAATAACGACCACCGAATTGGCGCCATCCACACCGTCTTTGGCCGCTGCCGTGGCTCCCAGCGCTGAGCTCACCAAGCGTGGCCGTTGCGGTGGCATCACCGCCCGCAGGTTGCCTCCGGCTACACCAACAGCCTTCTGCGACTCATAACTCTCCGAAGACATCGCCAGATCAGACCCGCTGCCGTTGCGACCACTGGTCATGGCGGCGTTGTCCATCCTTGGGACGCATGCCAGCCCAGACGGCTGTCTGTTCAGCTTGGGTTCTGTTTCGCCACTGGAAAGGCCTGATCCTCCATCAGTTTGGCTAGACACGGTCCGAACCAAGCAAACAGCCGTTGGCTGATCCGCCGCTGCCGTTACGTGGTTAACGGCCGTCCCCCCAGCCGCTTGTGGGCCAACTTTCAACGATTGCTTGGATTCGACTTTCAACCGTCGTTTGGGGTTAAATTTTAACGGTTTCTTAGGGTCAATTTCTAACTGATGCTTTACGTCAAGGTTTGAAATTCTTTCCACAGCAAATTTCGTGGGTTGTTTTTCATCAATCAGCGAGCTGCTGCCCGCCAGCAAGGGACACCACCAAGCTGCATGGGGTGCTTCAGCGCATACCAGCCACGCCGCCTTGAACCAGAACTCCGGCATTAACGGGAGCACGGGCACGTCTTCAAGCTTCCCTGATGCCTCGCTGCCTTCCGACGTTTTGCGCATGCCGGTGTTGTTGTCGTTACTGTTGTCACCACTGCTGGCGGCGGCCAGGGCACCACCGGGTCTCCAGCCCAATACCGCAGTAGCCGTTACAGGGTCGCTGTACAGACCAGCTTGGCGCATCTTAATTCGGGTGCTGCATAGCCCCGGCATGCTGCATGGTACATTGCCACACAGCCCCAACTCCAAGCATTTGCAAGTGATGGCTTGGCCCGGGGGCCCACAGGGCTGCGTGATTGGTGGAGAGCTTGCACCACCGGTGGCTGCTGCTGGGCTGCCGAATGTTGATGCCGGCAAGTCCAGCGCCGCGGATGAAGATGCCGTGCTGCCTTGCCTTTCACCCTCAATGAAGGCAATCGAAGCCATAGCAGGCCGCATACCTGCCAACACGTCTTCCGCAAGAGCTACTTGAGGCATGCAGGGGACAGAAGGCAGTACGGGAGGGCCTGGTGCAGGCGTCTGACCATGGCTCCCTAGGCACCCGGCATCACGAAAGAGGCCAGCCCAGCGCAATTTGGCACGAGTATCGCACAAGTGGTCGATGCTGCAAGGTGAATTGACACAGAGCCTGGCTTGCCAGCACCTGCACGGCCGGATCGCGGTCACAGCGGGCGGAGCTGGCACCGCGGTAGCCTGCTTGGGTCGTTTGGTGCTGTTGACCGCAGCACTGGTGGCGGCGATTGAGATAGCAGTGGCGGTCGTGGTGGCAGTACTGGTAGGTGTGTCCATGGTATCAAGGGTAGCAGGGAAAGCTCTGGGAGCGGCTGTACTGCTGCGGTTGCCAGTGGTAATGGCGGTGGGTATGATGGTGTTGGTCGAGGCGGCAGCTGTAACTGCCCGTGTTGGCGACACCTCAGGCAAACTCTCAACGGGCTTTCTGTCTTCTGCCAATCCTGCTGGCGAAGGTATAACCGGAACTTGTGTAATTTGCGTTGGAGATGGACGTGAAGGTTTATGCATGTTAAGCTGCTGCGGTTCCAAGAGCCCAGTCGGTAGCCCAGGAACTTCCTGAAGAGCGCCTTGTGGATCCCCTGGCTGACCAGCTCCGGGGCCCTCTTGTAATGGGCTTTGCGAGCGCTTGCGCGAACTCTCGTGCCGAATACCATTTGGCTGGGTGCTAGTGCGGGCTATTGCAGCGGCTGGTGAGTGCGTCACGGACAAGACACCTGGCCCCCCTGCTAGGCCGCCATGCCCGCTGCAGGGCTTCCGGTACTGCTGGGGACGCCACGAGGCGGTAGCAGCAGCGGCAGCGGTCAGCGGACTGCCATACACTTTCCGTGGTCGTGGCGGCGGCGGCGGTACCACAGGAAGGGGTGCCCCCATGGGTGCCTCTCGCGGCAACATCGTGTGCGGACTGCCGTTAGCGGATGCCACCCACCGCACAGCGACCTGCTGCACATTATCGCGGACAATGCTGCTGTGGCGGTTGCGGCTGTTCGTGGATGTGTTGGACGTGCTGGACGTGGTGTGGCAGCCGCCGCTAAGATAATCGTTGCCAGTACTGCGTGATCTGGTGGTTTTGTGAGGAGAAGCCGAATCCCCAAGTTCTGTACTGTTTTTTACTTTAACATCGCCGTCAAGGGGTGTCTGTACTGCGCAAATGGAATCTTCATGGCATGTTGCCAACGCTGACGGATCACGTGCTGGCGGCAGAGGTAGTGCCAGGGACGGCCACGCGGTGTTGGACACTGTTGCCGTGGGTGATAAAACCCGCATCTGCACTAATATGACTCAGAACCGCTTGATGCGGACCTGTATCGCTTGCTGCGGAATGCAGAGATGCCGGTTTCCCTCCTCGTTCCAAGGTAATCAGGGGCCCCTTGCGATGCTGGCTTCGGCTGCAGCCCCGCCAGGCACAAGATAATGCGAGAGGATGCCTGAGACAGTTTATCCCTATGGTATCTGTGGCAGAGGCTGGTGTTGGTGTTGGTGGAGGCCTTTATGGTGGGGAATGTGGGGGCAGCGGAAGCGGCGGAGATTGCACCATGATGACCTGGATGCAGGAAGCGGTTGGCCGGCGGTGCTAGGGATCTTTTCGCAGCGATGGCCGCGTTTTATACCAGCAATGGCGCTATGATAGCCTGCGCAGTCGTAACTGCCGTTTGTTGAGGGCGATTTTACTCCGCTCGCAAAAAAATGCTTGGATAGTGTAAGCATCGGACGGAGCCGCAGGGTTAAGCTCCAACGATGCCGTTAAATCTGTGAAAGCAAAATGCCAAAGCGATTCGAACAATTAATTGTACGCAATCCCAGACAAGATGCAAATCGTCCGTCATTTCAAGGTTATAAGACAAGTAACACGGCGGTGTAGATCGTGCGCTTTCTTAAACGACGACCCGAGTGCGCCCTCAGGTTGCGCCCTAAGGTCTCTAATATTAAGATGCATGGTCAGATGAGTGTCTGTCTCTTGCGATATCTGTCACCGTCTGCCGCCGTGTAAGCGCAGGCAGAACGCCCACGACGTACGTACACGTTACAAGCCCCTGAAGGTCCCAATTAATTATTGTTCTTTATGGAAATAAGGAATGATTGGATTAGAACACCAGATTGAAAGGCAGTCCCGCGTGCACCGACCACTGTATCTTAAGTACGCAAATCGCCCTGAGTTATCACGAAAGAAGTATTCATGATGGACTTACATTCAATGCATCAGACTGCTTCGTGCACAACTCTGTATTCGCACCGGGCCTTGATGGATTTGCCTTTTGGACCCCATTTGAATCGCAAGAATGTAGACTTTAGGGCGAATCTTGTTGGCTCCGTTGATGGCCGCTGGGTTTGTATGCTAGACGCTCTTAGCATTGTTTAGCAGATAATTTTGGGAAACGATTACCAAACGATCAACCACTGACTACGTGCAAACCGATGAAACACCGAGCATCTAAATGTAACTAAAAGTCCACAAAGCATGATGAACATTCGTCTATATGTATAGATTTCATGCCTCGGCTTTTTTGGCTTGGAAAACCTAACCAGTATCGTGTCAGCCTGCTTTCTACCGTTTGCTGCCGTACATGAGTACAGTAGACAACAAGCACTGTTGTTATCTGCGTCAGTAAACGCAACAAATCTTAAAATTGAGCAATCTGTTTGCAAGCTATATACTGCAGGAACATGAGTTGCGGCCGTCAGGTATCCCTTACTAACGGCAACCGGCAGATGGTCACAGATAGCCTATTCGTTGCCCTTCCCTTGGAATGTAGGTGCACTTACAGTTTCACCTGTTGTCCGCTACCGCTACAATCTCTGTGGCGTGTTGTTTCTTAGCAATTGCCATCGGAGTCGGTAGAGTTTTTAAGCTAGTTTTTAAGCTGGAGGCCCATGAGCACCATCCAACTAAGATTCTCAGGTTGTGCTGAGAATAATCTAAACTGTTCATAAATCTGATAGCTGATATTTGCTTTGTAAATTCTTTGTCGGCTATAACACGGGGCGGGCTATTGGAGGGCGGCTCGCCGGCTCGTCGGTAGCAAGTAACCAAGCGAGGCTAAGAGTTACCTTAGCGGCAGGGACGACAAGGCCTTCGATAAATGGCGGGCATATGCTTCAAGCGCTGAAGGGCGCGAATAGAGGGTAGGACAAACTGTCGGGCAGAGCAATTCTTTTGACTGCCCCGGTCGCACAATTCCCGTGCTTCCCTAATTCGACACCCTGAACACGCTAATTCTGACTGTCCGAATGTCCCTGCCAGGCCAATTCGACACCCTGTCAGCCTAATTCTGACTGTCGGAATGTCCCGCCAGGCTAATTCGTATCCCTGTCAGGCTAATTCTGACTGTCGGAATGTCCCTGCCAGGCCAATTCTTATCCCTGTCAGGCCAATTCAAGGGCCTGTCCCGGCAATTCAACTTGTCCCAGGTGTCAATTTAAACCCTTCTACCGAGCAATCTAGACCAATTGCAGGGTCTGCCCCCAAACTCTCAGGCACGCATTCAGAATCGCGGAAGTTGAAGGAACTTTACGAAACAAGGGGAGCACTTACAAATATCTCTCGTATGTTTGTTGGTTTCAAATCCGTACATGCTTGTACGGTAACAAGGCGTGTGGGGCTCCTGCCACTTCCTGCCCCATATGGGACACGGTAACAAGGCGTGTGGGGCTCCTGCCACTTCCTGTCCCATATGGGGCAGGAA